ACGGACCGAGCGCAGCTCGGTCCGTACAAAAAAGACCGAGGGCCGATATTCTTCCAGTACGGTCCCGAGCAAGCTTGGTTATAATAAGAGATTTATTATACGACTGAAGTTCAAAGGGACACAAGTGCGGTATCATTCGGGACCATTCGGGACAGTGCCCGGTCCAATACTTAGAGAATATTGGACCGGCAATAGAGCATTTTGATTGGTTGATTTTAGTTATTGGCCCTCTGACTGCCCGAGTCGTGTAATAATCAATAATACTAACTATAGATTACTTTCTTGAAAATGTTTTCATACCTGGCAAGTACGATTTTCTGCCTAATTATGGTGTTCAACTTTAGATAGATGAAAAACTTTTTCAAAAAGTCCAAAATTTTCAAGAATGAGGAGAAAACTTTAATTTGTAACAATGTGTTATCTTCTTTTAGTATAATTTCAGAGCTGAGCAAAGAGTTTCCAGCAATCTGATTAGTTGAGCGGTTCTTTATATGAGGCTATATAAACCGCTCCACGCGGTTTATATGAAATGTTAAAAAAAAAATGTTAATAAATGTTATGTTAAGATTTTAGAAATTTCTCTGTTGTTCAACTCTGAAATTATACTAAAACAGTTATTTACCTCAGGTTCTGTGAAAATTGTTGAATAATCCCCTCGACATCGTCTTGGGGATTATTCGACGATATTCACCTTGCCTTCGCTGAATAATTGTTAAATATAAGAAGGACGTAGATGAAAATACTTACATCATCTCCTGTTTCTCCTTTAGGTCCTTCATCTCCCTTGGAAATGAAGAGAAAAAAGGTTGAGTACGTCAAAAGTCAATCAGTGCTCGAGCTCCTTGATAAAATTTTAATCCTGGATCATTGCTTACCACCTTTCGAACAACCTGGCCCAACTGGCCTCTTCTATTAAATTGGACAAAAAATTCTCTAGAAAATCATAAGAAATACTGAAGGGGGGGGGGGTGTGCAATCTTGTCACAGACAAGCATTCTATCCTGAGATAAGAGGGGGCAAGTAAAACATGTACAGCCCAGAATGGGCCTTCTAACTTGTAAGATAACTTTGTCTTTTTTAACCCTTTAACTCCCATGAGTGATCAAGACAGAATTTCTCCTTACCACATCAGCACAATATCAAGAAGAAAAGTGATGAGAATAAAGCAAAATATCAATTAGGGGATTATTAGTTGATCCAGTATCAAATTCTCCAAAATCACACCATAAGAATTCTATGGCAGACAGTAAGGAGTGTAGGTTCCAAACAGACATTTCATGATTTTAACACGACGCAACTCTTAGTTGTTACCAGGCTGACCGAGTGATCTTGTTCGGCCATGTGTATGATGAATTTTGTTCTGAAGATTGTGAATGTGAATCGTTTTCATCCTATCAATTTCGACAAACATTTTTCAGTTATTTTGAGAAGGAACCTTCAGATTGCTTGTAAGTGTTCGACATTTCGATTTATTTGAGCTTTGTGTACTTTCATTTTGCTTTATTTTGCTTTGCGTTTGCAAGTTTCGATTGTGTAATTCTACTTTCAGAAACACATTTGTATGCCGTTTATTAGATGAACCTGGATTAAAAGACTCTAAAATTAAGCGATCGATTCAGCGGTTACAAGGAGGACTATTTAATAAGATCTTGGAAGTTACTCTTACCTTAGTTCCAACAACATCAGTGGCTGAAGAACCTTTGCTACCTTTCATTCCTATAATGCCAGGCAAGCCCTGGGGACCAACGAGAACAACACGTCAAAATCTTAGGACAAAATGTTTTAGTAATAACTGATAGGAAAATAATCATCCAGTGAATGTTTACAAATGATTATAGGTAACACTGTTTCTTCTTAACAATATTTCTCTAAATTAAAAATATAATCCACTCTGTTGGTTAGCACAAAACATTTCCTTCTTCACTGGACCTTCAAGTCCACATGCATTTTCTCTTCCAATATTGCTTCCATATAACAAACAAAGTAACCACTTTATGGCGCACAATGCAATTTTATCTTGTGTATTTATGGTTGTCAAGCCTTAAATGGTCCAATTTACTGTTGCATGCTTGGTTGCCAAGCCTTTGAACAGGAGTGAGGCTAAGGGTGACCTTGTCATGATACAAACATTGCTGCTTTTCAAATGTAAGTTAACAAATGTTATCATGCTAACTAGATACTGGTCTTTCTCACATCAAGGTCACTTTTTTCCTCAACCCACAACAAATTTTAAAATGAATAAAGGCTGATAGTTTCGAAAGAAACTGTTTGTTGATGCATCCAAATTGTAAAATGGCCTATTGTACTAACCACCTGAACTTGTTGAAAAAATTGTTGATGAGGTATGGTTTGATCCAAGTCTTTACCAAAAAATGTCTTTTAGGAGGTTTATATTTCCATTTCTACATTATAGCAGTACTATTCTATAGACCACTTTCATAAATGGCTGCCGGATTAATATTCTTTTGTTTGGAGAAGGTAACGAATCTGATTCAACCGACGCGTCGGCCAACATGTTGACCAACGCGTCGGCCGACACACCACCGACGCATCGGCCGACACAATACCAAACGCATTACCGACAAAGGAAAACAAACAATTGTAAACCTGTGATGATACGGCTAATTACTTTGCATGTGAAGAATGGAATTAATCAGAAAAATAGTTAGCAGTCAGGACACAAAACGAAAGGCATGCGATGCCATTTTTTTACGATACTAGGACTTAGTACCTCTCTCCATACAATACTAGTTTCTAGTCTCTCTCGGTGGTATTTGCAAGCTTTTGAGGGTGGGTTTATAACGAGTTTCGTCTTTCTGGAATATTAGTAAATCTTTAGAGGGGGACATGGGAGTCAAGGAATTAGATAAAGAATATTCATTGTTGATAATTAACTTTCTTTTATTTGGTGGCTCCTAAAGGAGCCGTTTTTTTGTTTTTTAGACAGCCTTTTACGAATAAAAGGAGTCTTCCACGGCCAGCGGCAACAGCATCTTGTTGTGTTGTAAGCATTTGACCATAGGCAGAAGGCCACCTAGCTGTTTTCGGCACTCGTCCTCAATGGTCTTAACGGACATTTTGGGATCGCCCAGCCTCTCTAGTGTGCTCTCGTAAGTGACGTTGTTGACAATACGGAGTTCAGCCCCAAATGGTTATATCATAACTCATTAAAACCTGATTAGTGCCCAGTCTGAATAGACTGAGTAATGAAATTCAGTGTCTGGGTTGAGAAAATACGACATAAAATGGCGTCAACGAACGTACTCGTTACGTTTATAGTGCAAGGAAAATTACTTATCCTATACTTAATCCAGATGATAGAAGACAACGGGAAAATTTGGCTTAATCCATCTTCTCAAGGTATAAATAAATGAGAGAAAGTCACCAACGCACCGCCGACGCAGCCTATTTTTCCACTGGGAAACCCGCTGCCAACGCGTCGGTCGACAGTCGGCCGACCGACACGTTGGCTGACGCGTCGGTTGGATCAGATTCGTTACCTTACCCCTTTGGTTTAAATTTAAATTAGCCTTTCTGGCCTTGCTTGAGATAATGTATTCTTTTGAATTTTGTACTGGAGAACGAGGCCAGAAAGGCTAATTTAAATTTAAAAAAAAGAATATCAATCCAGCAGCCATTTATGAAAGTGTTCTATAACCTCTATGATTCAACCTTTTCAATTCCGAACGTGACTGAAACATGAGATTTTCCTTACAGCATCAACACATTGATAGGTGATTGCAAGAAAGAAAAAAAATTGAACAACAGTTTGATTTAATACTTTATTCTTGGAGCTTGAATCATTAGAAATGTATAACAGATGGTTATTAAGAAGAATTTATACCAAGATCTTGAGAGTGGAAAATTAAAATATACTGATATGTACCTTATTTCCTTTGGGTCCTGGGTTTCCTGGGTTTCCTGGGACACCTCGCTCACCCTGTTGCCAAATGGAATTGGAAATAAAAGAAAATCAAAAGTCTAAGGGAAAAATCACTTTCAGTTGAAAGCTCATTCACATGCAACTTCATTTTTCTCTTTATTTTTAAAGAAAAAAACTGACATCATTTTCAGTCTAAATACCTCAAGGATATATGTCCTTCTAAAACTGTATAAGCTTAAGCCCAGGCTACTACTTTGTCAAAGCAAGAAATAGACAAACTGTACAACCTCTAATAATTTAATTCCAACTTTAGACTGTATGCAGTTGACTGCTAACAGTATGGGTGGCTGTTCCAAGTGTGCATACAAACCTGTCTGCTTAAGGCATTTCACATTCCCGTTATTGTGCACTACTTACCTTTGTTCCATTACAGCCTGGGTCCCCCATCATACCACGAGGACCATCTTCACCAGGTATACCCTATAAATAAACAAAATATTAATTGAATGACCATTAAATGTGGCTTTATTTCATTGAGTCAAAGTTAAACTTAAGACATACCTGTGTTACAGTCTGATAAATCTTATGGCAGTCCTTGGGTCTTACTTGGGATTTAAAACTTTAACAGTTCTCTGTTTGCTATTTGGCTTTTCTACTTGTGATGAATCTTATACATATTTGGGATAAGGCTCTGTCTCTTTCACCTCTTCCTTTTATTTCACTGATACTATATAAATACTGATTCTCTTTTTTCCTCATGTATATCAATAAAATGATGGTGAGTAATGGTGACCAGCACTGTTAAGATTGTCATCTATAACCTTCTGTGGCCCTAAACACTTTCAAAACTTCTTCCTTGCATTTGATTATTTGTGATGACTTTTAGAGTCGCAACTACAGCAGGCAGTGGACAGTAAACAGTCACAAGTAAGTCCTAACTACAGCTAAGCTATGCATTTTAGGTTTAACATTCCCAGTAAGAATTCTTAGAGGTTTGACTGAACTTACTGGATTTCCATTTGCTCCTGGAAAACCTGGCGGACCAACTCGTCCCTATTGGACAAAGAGGAAAATTGAAACATGTTTACTCTGTTGCTCTTGGTAGCTTAACAGTCACGACTGTGACCAGAATTAAATTTCTCTCTGAAATATTAGTAGGAATTTTTTTTTAAGAAGAAAGGTAATTAAAGGAAGATGAATATCACCTTGGGAAAAACTCGTGAGTGATGTATAACAGAAATTGTTGAGAATTAAAATTTTCATCTAAGGAATTAAAGGGTTGATATCACGAAACAAATTATGTGGAGCTCGAGATGGCATGGCCCAGTGGTTGGTGTGTCCTCCACATTGCCACTCACTGCATTTGTTCTTGGTTACCCTGAGTTCAACTCCTTGGCTGCACTCTGTAAATAGCCAAATGGTCTGCCTTAAGCTAGTAGGGATTTTCAAGCACTTTATGTTGATTCAAAATTTGTTTCTCTCTCTTACCCATTGTAATGTGCTTAGAGGCTTGCAATAAGCACTATATAAAAAATTGTGACAACTATTATTATGATGATGTTTATCCTTATGATCTGTACTTACTCTTGGTCCTCTTTCACCATTTGGACCTGCTTCACCTTTGTCCCCCTAAATTTAAGATCGTAAATGTTACAATGCAAGTTGAACAGTAAGCTTGTATCTGGGTGCAATCCTGATTAAGAAAAGAAATTCATGTCCTCAATCTATTGGGAAGGTTAGATTGACTAGTAGTTGATTTCTCCTATGCTACCACATCTGTATCGAACACCAAGGGCATGCAAAAAAGGAAAATGATTCCCTATTGGATTAACTTTTACTTTTTGAAAATTCTCTTTGCCAGTATGATAGGACATGTCAAAAGATCAGTGTGAAGAATATGCATGTCGAGAATAGGCCATTTTACAGTTGTGTAATTAGTTGCCAAGCCTTTGATTCAGAGTGAGGCTAAAGATGACCTTGTTGTGATAGAGACCTGTATCTAATTAGCATGATAACAAAGTGATTTACATTTGAAAGGCAGCAAGGTTTGTATCATAACAAGGTCATCCTTAGCCTCGCTCCCGTTCAAAGGCTTGGCAACCAAGCACACAACTGTAAAATGGACTATATGGTATGAAAGGTTTACAGGGTTAGCAAGAAATCAAGTTCATAAAAAATAAAATTCCAAGCGTTAATTGAAAAGTTCCAATTAATTGAGGCACCAGTAGCTACAAAAAGACCATAAAGCAGAATTAAACAATGGTATTGAAACAGAAACTAGCTTTCTAATCGAAATTACATAGCAGATAATTGAAACTTCAACCATTGTCACTGATATGTCATCAAAGAAACAGCTAGTATGGTGGCGAAGGCAACGAAAAAGTTGGTGGACGCCTTATTAAACTCAAAAAGTGCAAAATAGTCTGAAATCAAAGGCATGGATCAGCTGGTCCTGCAAGTAAGACACTTAAAGGCCGATCGAAAGTGGCGACATGACAGAAACAACTTCTTGCAACTAATAAAATAACTGGAAATTTGCCATAAAATTGCGACAAACGACAAAACTATCTTTAATTTGAAGCGTTATTTGCTTAATTTTCAGCTGAAACTAAAACAATACAGGCAAAATTAAGGGCGATTTAACTTACATGCATTCTAAGTCAGTTGATTTATACTAATCATAAAAAACTCTAAGCCTCGGTAACCAAGCCTTGGTTAGAAAAATATGGCAGGTAAGTTGTGCATCACAGCGAGCGGTATTTCGGCTGTCCATAAAATGGATTTGATCCGCCGGTTGCATTGGATTGGATTCCATTCCACTACCTTTATTTTGTTACAGTTGACAATCGTTTCCATTTCAAATGCTCTATGTTTACTTAGAACCTTTTTGATAGCTTTGTGTAAAACTTACCTTATTACCTCTGGGACCGGGTAGACCTTCTGGTCCTTGAAAACCCTACAAATTAGACAAGGGTGAGTACCATTAATCGAATTTTTCTCCAGAGTTATTTTTTGTAAGCTCCTCACGTTTTAATTGTTGCCCGATTTTGTTTTGTTGCCCGATTTTGTTTTGTTGCCCGATTTTACGGACTCAGGTGAATTCATGGTCCGTGTAGCTCTGAAGGTGAAGTTGTTCAGAGCTTTTGAAAATTTGAAACACTTGTTTCAAGATGCTCTTGAATCGTTGTTTGCGAAGTCAAGAGAAAAACGATATTTTAGGTGATCTGTTTTTGACATTCTTGATTTAGGTTGTTTTTCTGTGATCGTGAGTGTAGTGATGGTGTAAAGTTGCAAACTTAAGGGGTGTTTCATACATGTGAATGTCCATCAAGAAAGAAAAATCTATCTGATTTCCAACCCACAGGATAGAGGAAGACTCAATCAGAATGCTATAGAATGCTTTATGCAAAATATCCTTGGTAGTGAAAGTCCTAAGGATTTGAAATTCCATCCAGGTTTTGCCTTGTTTTGATGCACCTCAGAGATTGATGTAAAAGTTTTGGAAAGGATTAGAAAGATGCCTGTGAAAGAATTAATTTGAGAAGGGGAAATTTTCTTATTCAAAATCATCCCATAGATAACAACACAGTGGCAGATCTAGGGGTGGGGCACAAGGGACCTGGGCCCCCCTCCCCCTTATTTTGGGCAAAAAAAATAAAACGCAGTGAGAAGAAAAGCTAGCAGGTGAAGCACACACAAATAAAAATGGGCCCACCCACTTATCTCCAGGTCTGGATCCGCATTGCAACAGTCAAACTTTACTCACCGGCAGACCAGGTGGGCCAGTTAATCCTGCCCTTCCTCTCTCTCCCTATAGTGAGAAACAGGATTGGGGCATTTTACATTCAACCAGAGACATGATATAATTATATGCTAACGTTTTTTATACACTCGACCTTGGTTTTCATTTTGAGTGGGTGGTAGATATTATTTTGTCTATTGTATAATTGAATTTTCAATTTATCTTTTGATCGGATTAATTAATTTGATTAATTTTCTAGTGATTTAAATTTTTTTTTCAGAGAAAAATTAAGGGCAGTTTTAATTTCTGGTAGCTATACTTGCTTACTACTGTTTTTGTTTTGGAGAGATGGGGGCATATAGATATAATCAATTAGGCTTTGATGGGTTTGTCTTAAATTATTATTGCTACTTCATCAATATCTTGATTTTTGGATTCCATGATATATACCAATTAGCCACTAAAGGTACAATCAAATCCATTACCAAAAAGTGCTGCCAATTCTTAATCAAGTTACTTAATAATTTAATTGAATTATTATGTTTTTGGAGAAATGAAACAAACTGATAAGGAACTTACCCTTTCACCCTTCTCTCCAATACATTTCGGAACACATGATTGGCAACCTTGGCACTGATGAAGCAAAAACCAAGAAATAATGTTAACATTGTTTTATTTCATTCACTTATCTTTATTACTATTGCTGCCTGGAAATTCCAACCTGGAATCATTCAGGGTTGCTGCTAAACTCTGTCTACTAATGAAATTTGAGGGATGAAAAATTGGCAACTGCTAGCTGAATTCTTGGCCAGCAATTGCTTGAAGGACAACAGACACTTCTAAGGTTACACACTTACAACCATTCATTATTGAATGCCATCTTGGCACTGCCTTGCTTGAAATTTCAGCCAGGAGTTTAATTAGTTAGCTACAATCCTTATCATTCAAGACCATGGTCATTTGAAAGAAAAAGTGTCATGCACATTATAATACACAACTCAGAATATTTCTGAAAATATTTGAAAAGTCTTGGTGTCGATGGTTTGATGCTCTGCCTTTTTTTTTTTTTTAAACAAACTAGTTTCAATTCGAGTCCCTTGGTTCACAACAAAATGATTTTGTTTTCCTAAGTTTGTACAATGATAATCTCTCTGCAAACAATGAGAAATGTTATCACTCTCTGCATTGAGGTCAGTGCAACTGATTGGGAAAGTAGTTGTTGAGCAAAAGTTTCTTTCTTGTCATAAATTTTTAACAGGCTACAGTGGAATATAGTTTTTTTTTTTTTGATGTCCTGTAAAAGGAGGATATCCTGTAGAAGATTTAGTAGATGTAACTTGGTGTCATTCACATGCACTGGGATTTCTTTGGGGTATAATGACCTCAGGTGAGGTCCTGAATCCTCTACAGCATTGGTAAACTTTAACAAGATGTTCAAGTTTTTATTAATGATCTACTATGCAACTGTTCAATTTATTTAAAGAGTTCACATCCAGTGTCAGCATTTGATACTTTTTCTATCTTACACTGGGAAAATTAGCTGAAATGTCACAATTGTTTTTTCTAGATTCTTAATAGACCTGAGTGGACTGAATGAAGAGTTTCTTATGACGCTTCCATGAAAGTCATCAACAGAAGAGGTAAAATTCTTAAAAGTTCTTTGGCCAGTTTAAATCCTAAAAACTGTAATTTCAATGCTTATATCCTGGCAAGGATGTATGTTGGAGGTAAGCTGCAGGATCATTTTTTTTTTTTGCTGATCGATCAGCATTTTTTGTAGGCCACAGACTACATGGTATTTCTTCTCCACACAAGTAAATTTGGAAAAGCCTCTTAACTGCTTTCACTCTAATTATACTTTTCTCGTCTTAATCTGGGTGGACCAGAGTGGAATTCTATAATTCTAATATTCTTCTTTTGGATGTTGAAGCTATATATGTATTATTACCACTCCTTACCTTGATAAGAAAAGTTTAAGTTTAGTTTCCCAGTTCCTTTTGGTGTGGTAAAATTTTGCAGTAGCTAGTGTACATAGGTTATGGAAGTCAAAAGGCTGCCAATCGTGATATGGTTGACATCCTTTGTTAGGTGGTGTAACCTCAAAGAAATGAAACTTCTGTGACCGAACATATGCTCACGCAAAAGGAAAAATTCCCAACATTTCAAGTAGGCTTTTAGCAACGCTGATCATTTGTTTGTTTATTAAAATGCCTTTTAAAATGTAAACATTAATATCTGTTGTTATCGAGTACTGCGTATAGTAATTTTAATATTAGCCGGAAAAACATCCAATTTTAGAACGGACTTAAATCTTTGCTCAATTCTTAATTACAAGTCTTTGATTTGCAGCCAAATCTGTTACAAAGCTCAAAAAAGAGTAACCCTTACTGCGCAAGAACGAAAATTCCTTTCATGTGCATTGGGCAACGAAAGCCTCACCTATATATTTGCGGTTTGACTCCTGGCCCAAGGAATAACAAACTTATGTATGCATGCTATGCCATGTAAAAGCTATCAATCGAACAGTCGTCATGGAATGATATCAGCGATCTCAGTTGCATGACTAAAAAGAAAGGGAATGTCAATTTTAACACGCCTCTGAGTTTCTATCCTTTAAAGCAGCGGAAGCCCGATTTCACGCACCTTTTATTCAAGATTGAATTAAGTAGGAAGGTTAAGGCTAGTCCGATTTTGTTGGGCAGTGCAGGAAGTCACGAGAGCCAAGAAAAATTTTAAAGCGAAATTTATCGCTTTCACGCGATTTTCCATAGAGTACTAACAGCGATGTTTTCCGAATGATATTGATCGATACGTAACAGTAAGGTGCGTTTCGGTAGCTATAAGTTAACAGATGAAATATTTCTTCGTCGAATGCATTTTCTTCGGCCTCGATAGCACCGGAAATAGATTTGGGAGAAGGGTCGAAGGCTACCTGACGATTTGAAATGAAAATGGATCGCACAGATGGTCTCAGGAAGTCTAAATGTTCAATTTTTGGTTCCTTCATCGGCTCGCAGTGTGAAAACTACCAACTAAATCTTGCTAAAATTTCGTGATTCGCCGGGAGAAAAAACTGTTGATCCTTGTCGTTGATCTTATAATTCGCTTATTAGATCGTAATGGTCGATTTCGATCATGACTTTAGGGCAGTTCCCGGGACTTTAATGATCTTTCGGAATATCGATTCGTGAAGTTCTAATTACAAAACATAAGTCCCTCTGTTTTGATGGTTTTCCCCGTGCGAGACTTGTCTCGCTAATATTTGAATGTAAACATAACGGGGAATTTTCTGTGTTTCAACCGAAACTGCCGTTTTGTTTATGACATGCTTAAGAGAGCTTTCGTCTTATCAACATGTTATTATAGGGATTTATTCCAAAACTGCCGCAGAGTGGTTATACTGGCAACTTACTTGACAGGCCTGTCGCACGTCTGTCGTCGCTTAGCCACTCGCGCACTCGTACAACGTACAGCGCGCGTGAGATTCACGCACACCTCTCGAAGTGCCGTGCGCGTTATCACTCCAAATAGGAAATCCTCCGAGAAAATCACACCGAATCAAATATTGTTCACAATCTAGAAAAATTGCTCCACAAACTTGTTTCAATTCTCAAATCCTATCCCACTTTGAGTAAAACAAGCAAACGTTAATTATGCGAGTGTGCTTAATTTTCATTTAAAAGTAACATACTAAAAATAGATTGCCCTTACAATCTAAATTGGAGTGATCCACGTTTGCTTTATAATTTACTTGAACTTATTTGAATGTCCCTTAGTGATAACTCTCTGGAAGATTGAGAGAGGAAGATTCAAGTGGTAAAATTTTACGCCGACTGCATGGTTGTCCACGAGGCCCAGTGCAATCAATATTATGAATGTTGTAGTGAAAATCATCAAGACTACATAGCCACCAGAAGTCTTACAAGTAAAAAGACAGCATAGGTAGTATAGTTATTGCCGAATAAACACGAGGTGCGTCCCTGACTCTAATTTTCGAGCAAGATTTCACTTGCACACTGATTATAATTAAAACGGACATTTATTATGTACCAAACGGTTTCAGAGTGTACCAGATGTAAATAGAGATACGCCTTGTTAGGAATAGTATTTACTGCCTTTAGAAATAACTTGCATTATTGGGTTGCAAGAGCTGCAAACCGAATCCGAGCGCGGTAAGATTCAAACGATCTTCTTGATCAGCGATAGTGAATTGGTGAAAAATTAGATTGAGTAGCCCAGAGCTAGGGGAATAACAGTAAAAATCAAACAGACATACCGCTGCGTCCACAAAAGGAGGATTCACCAGATACCATCCACATAATACAAAAAAAACAGCGGCAAATTGGACTAAAAACCTGCAACATGACAAAGCATAGCTAAATCCTAGACATCACTACACGCGCGTGTTCGATTGGGATCTTCCAAGGCAAATTCAGAGATCGCGAATCAAAGCATACAAATGTAAAAACAAGATCGTGGCCAACACATACCGCATGGCCAATTGATATATCCACAAGCAGCTACTACGTTTGTTGTGCTCTTATCTGGACATACTAAGTGAACGACGCTTTTTGTGTATGGAGAGTTGCGAATTGTCGCTCGCTGATCGGTGACTCAAATGGACAGCAGACCAAAATTCCAAGATTGAGAAAGCGGCTTTTGTTTCACCACAGGTCACGGGTGATAATGTTTCACGATTTATTGACAGATCGCGAAATTCCCGAGTGTCAAAGTTCTGCGACTGGGTGGGTTCGCTTTCACTCGGATTGAACAAAGGTTCAACTCTCCAGATCCCACAACCGACAGGCTGCGTGAAATTAATCTAATAATTATACGGAAATTTCTTAAGACTTTCAGATGGCGTGTCGTTAGGGATTTAGATCACGTTTAGCAGACAGTAGACATTTTTTTAGTTGTAGTGTTCTTCTGCTCGATTTAATTCTTAGGGTGAGAAGAGCTTGCTGGAGATTAAACATAAACTGGACGGTCAACAAAGAGCTTAGAGAAGAGAAGATTGCATGCTTTCAGCTAACCGCGACGAAATTTTTGGATTTAAACTTAAGGTGTGTCCTTCCCTTAGCACGGAAGTCCCTTCGGGTCTGAAGGTCTGCACACGATTCTAAGAAAAATGCGTCAAATACTATTTGCTTTTCGTCAGAAAATATTCAACAGCCGGAAAAAAGCACTTCAAGTATTCTAACCGCAAATAGCAGTCATGCCTGATCGCTGATCTGCGAGTTGCTCCCAGACAAGATAAACACCCTCGTGCATGTGCGTCAAATAAATGATATTAACTGTGAAACTTTCATAATTTATTCTACAGCTTTTTGATCTAAGGACTGATTAAGATTACGGATAATTCTCTTACGCCAGACAACTTGACCTTACTTGCGTCCGCCACGACCTAAGAGGAGCCTTGGTTACGGACGCAGGCCTCCTGGTGTGAAGTTGAGGTTGAACGGAACGAAGTGTGATATAAATGGCATACTCTTGTGTTGGGCCATAGAGCCCAAGAGAGGTTTTTTCAAGTGACGTGATGTTTGCTTAGTATGGTCTTTTTCGTAGCAATCACGCTTGACTTTTGGCACGCGAATAATCATGAATTTTGTAGTCGGACACACTAAAAACAACAGAACTTATTTTATCAACGCGTGAAATGATAATTCCACATTCTTTTACGATCTTCAAATATTGTTCTTTGAAGACAAGACAATCTCAGGCTAATCTGACGAGCAAATAAAACAACTTTGGGAATTCGTTGAAGTCGACTTCACTGTGATGAACGTCCCAGTTCTAAGAAAACTGTCTTTTTTCTTTAGTGTTCATTTTTTACGTTTTAAGAGGAGTGATCGTTTCCAGGGGTTTCACTTGAAAATTAAGTGTCGATACCCTTTTGTTTATCCATTTGTGTGTGTGGTCTTTATTAAAAAAGAAATCTCGTGTTAAATTTTGTCAGCAAAAATTACTAGCCAAACCCGAGAAGCACCATACACTTTTCACTGCCTGAAGGAGGGAGTCAAATTCACCCATAACCCTTCAAAGCTCAAGCAGCTGTACAAATCGCACTTGTATCAGTTGCACCACCTCTTTTGACGGGTAAAATTTCAAAATACAAACCCCCATGTTGGTTTAAACTGGTATATCTCTAAAGGTGATTTGGAATACAGTTGCAAGATGACAGGACGAGATAAGATCCAGTGGAGAGATAACTTTTAATTTTTGACATACGAGTCGCGAAAGACGTTAAGTTCCCTTCGTTTTGATTTCACCTTTTTTTCGGTTGATGCGATTTTGTCCCCTCCTACTAAGTGTCTGACAGCAAGCGTTTCTTTCATGAATGAGCTGTTTTATGCGCACGCTAAATAATTATAACCACAAAACAGTTGGGGATCGATTGGTGGAGCTCAAGCGGTACAAAGACTACTCCCCACCGGAAATATCGATCGGTTTATTGAGTAAACATGCCGATCCTCAATTTTGCCGCGAAAGGGAGATTCTTTCGGCGCCAAGGCGTGCTCAGCTATGCGTGTTATTGAGGTGGGACAGACACAATCCAAAACTTGATACTTCCTCTTCATCACCCTCCACCTTTGCATACAATCCCTAAAATGTGAGGTTTATACAAGTGCCTGTCAACTGTCAGCCTCGCCTCCTTGGGGAATAGGAATGCATCACATTCGTTTTACCCACTTCCTTTGAAGTGACACACGGCCGTCCAGGCTCGGATAACAAACCCTTGTACTGTACTTTCCTCGAAGCGTGTGAACGATCCGCGGAGTTGCTTCAGTTCTGCATGCTTTAAATCTCTTTTTGGCGATAATTTGATATTTTTTCATCATGGGGTTGAGGTAGGTTCATTAAAACGTGGCTCGATTTTGTTCAATTTTCAGTGTACGGTTTCGCTTCGCTTTTACCCCGGTTTTTACGAAAGGGTTGTCTGAGTTCTATTTCTCTCATTTCTCTTCAACAGGGCGGCCTCTCTTTTCGCCCTGCTTTTCTTTGTGTGCAGAACAGCGAATTCACAGGTAAGGTTTGCTGATCCAATCATCTTATTTTAGTTTCTTGGCGACTGCGATTGCTAAAATGTATATGCTCTAGAGAAATCTCTTGGGTAAAACTAAGCGTGCGCCTCACGCCAACTTTCCACTCACTCGCGAGTTGTCGCGCGTGGTAACATTCTGTCTTTCGTGAGTACTTCAACCACATGTATGTCTCTTTCACCCTGTCGCCCGACTAGGTTAAGATTCTTCAAGTGCGCAATAAAATGTTGTTTATGCATCGGGAAAAACATATTCTTCTGATTATTTTTAAACACCACGTAGTAATGTGGTGATATTTTGGTTGAATTAATTAGCTTTAGCAAAAAGAAAAAAAAATTGCTCTTCTCAATTTTTTTTCATAACGGTAAATAGTTTAAAGTTAGGAATTTCTAAGATTTTATTGCTTCGCATTCGACACAATTTCAAACTAAGGATTGTTTCATCGACCTGCGTGCAATTAAATGCCATAAGAGTTTAAAATAGATGGAAATTCAAACATCTCTTTCAATGTCAGGAGGACAAACAAACATTGCGCTCAAAATGTATTTGGTATCTTAATTAGTGAAAGCTCGGAAAAACCAAAATGAGAAGCGTTTACAATTAAGTGGCATGGGTTTCTGAAATGTCCCCATTTCTAGTCCTGAGAGATTTTTATAGTGCATGAACCCGAGTGCCACCGAATCGTCACGGAAAATTTTAAAAAATAGCTTTTGAAACTGAGTTTAACTATTCTCAATTAAATCCAAAGGATAATTCTGAAGGATAGAAGATGCCTACGATATATAGTATGGCTATTAGAAATAAACAAAAATGAAAATTAGCGAGGAAACCGCGTTTATGTAAGTGAATTAAGGCAATGAAATATCCAAATGTGGGCATGAAAATCTCTGTGTTCCTGATCGACACGAAGAGTCAGAAATATTGATCAAATTTCTACAGAAAACGTCGTGCAAATTAAACCTGTTCAGGGTAATCAATATTTGTATAGAAATATATCCTGTTTTTGAAGTCAGTGAATTTTTGGAGCTCGTGTATACGAGAAAATCTCTTCTGAACTTGGAAGAAAATTTGTACTCAGACTGTCGTGCTCTAGCTATCTCAAATGGACTAAATTCCCAGCAGTCATAAAAAATCTCATGAAAGTGTTTGATATTTGTTTGGAACTATATTGAGAAATTTGAAAATTAGGAGAAGAATTCTCCTTTCTTGTGCACACTAGAAAATAGTTTTTTATCAGTCTCAGGAACATACATGTAGTTATTAAATGATTTATGTAGTCACTTAAGGATATTAGGGTGAATAATTCAGGAAAACCAACATTGGATTTGGAATCACTGGACTTTTCTCAAACAGCCATATTGTAATTGTCAACAGCCACATTGTAATTTCATAGGCCAATTGATTTGCATTTGGTTTTTTCCTTATTTTCTTTTGACTTTTTTTTCAGTGACTATACATTGTTGCAAGAAGGTGTATTAATCCTTAATTTTTAGAAATAGGCATACACCTTCAGGACATGGGTATATGAATTAACTACAACAATATATTTCATTGTCTTTAGGATCAAAATGATGAGAAATGCAATTGTAAACCTGGACCTAAAGGTTCAAGGGTAAGTCATATAATTAAAACTAACTCGTCTATCGTATTATGGAAAACAACTTTGATTCAGGCAAACCTTTGGAACTGAAACAAACTGTTGAATGCAAAATTAACATCTCTACTATGTAAAATTATTTTTCATGCCCTGAAATTTTCCCATGCATGAAGTAGAAATTTTTGGAATTATTTTGTTTATAGCATGTGTGATGGGCATTTGTCCAAGGGAAAATTTAATTAGAAAATTGATTAACCCTTTAAATCCCAGGAGTGATTACTCTGTAACTTCTCCTTATAATATCTATACATTATCTAGCAAACAGGTAATGAGAATACTCAAACTTATCAGGTAGAAGTTGTTGCTTTGATTGAAGACCAAATTCTCCAGACCAGTTTACAAGGAAATGTATAGCAGCTAGAGGGGAGAATTGACAACCAGATCATGGGAGTTAAAGGTTTAAAATGAACTTTCCTCCCTACCTGCTCCTTGAACCATGCAGTTTTGAGGATCATGTATCCTAAATATCCTTTTTGTCAGGTGAAGGATCTTATAATTTAATTTTGCCAAACTCCTTCTGCAAAATTGAGATTTTATTGAGGGGAGGTTATTGTATATTCTTGCTATCTTTAAACTGGACTTTTCAAAATTGATCGTATTTGAAACTTTTGATTTTTTTCTTTGAGGGAAAGATTTCAAATGTGTGTCAAATGAATGTTTTTTACACAGAAATTCCCCCTGTCATCTTTGAGTGCAATATATATAATTGTAATTTTTACCCTTGCAGGGAAGACCAGGAACGTTTGGAGTCGAGGGACCGCCAGGAAGGGAGGTGTGTTTCTCCTAATACTATTCTAGCTTCTTTTCATGAGAAAGTGTTATAATTAGGAAGTTAGGGCTGCAGGCTGAAAGTTTTAATAGTGTAGTATGTCAAAGATGGAATGTGCTTTTCCTTCTCTATTATCATGCTTTAAAAAGTTATTGCTGGCCAAAAATCCAGCCAGTGGCTGCTACTTTTTCATCTGGCACAATCTGCCAGCAGTTAGTGCTTTGCAACAAGCCTGCAGATAATGAGTAATTTGCTTTCATAACAAACATAATTATGTGGGTCCCTAAACTAGTTTACAGAATTGAGCAGCATTGGACATTGTTAAACATTTAATCAGTTTTAAAAATGGTTTGACTCATATCAGCCTTTATTCAGTTATAAAATTATGTTTGCTTAATTAATCACTTCTACTTCAGAATGATTTGTGGAAAAACTGTGCCAGAACTCTTCTGAAGCTTTCCTGTCTATTTATCAATGTTTGAATCAGACATTGCCATGAAACAGATACAGGGTTACTTGCTTGGATTCAGTGTAAACTACGCTGTAGTGTCACAAAGTCTTTAACTGTAACGGAACAGACTCAAATATACAAGAAGAGTTTACACCGAAAGTAGTCAGATCCAACATATCTAAAACGTCCTTAGGCTTAGCAGCCAAGCCTGAAATATCCATGGATACCCAGATATAACATCCCATCCTAACCTATTTAAAGTTCAAAGTCCACTCTAACAACGCAACTTAACATAGAAGAACTAAAACAATGTTCTAGTCATAAACAAAGTCAGCATCTCTCTTTGGCTTTGGCGTTCGAGTTGAACGTCTCAATGCCATTGTTGAGTCGGTCGGACCACTATCTGCTGGATTCCTATCATCTGAGACTGTAGATCCGAGTTGATCCAAAGGAGGCATCGCTGCCCCAGTGAACTCTTCCGACTCCAAGCAGCCGTTGTCATTGTCATCATTAACTGGTAGCTCCATGCGTGGAACTCTACTAAGAAACTTCACATTACGAGTGAAATGTTGTCCAGTCTCAGCATTGACAAGTTCGAAAGTATCTGGTCCTTTGCTATGAACAATGACATACCTCTGATGACCAAACATGGGAATCAATTTTCCAGATTTTGTATTTGCTACAAATACAATATCCCCAGGTACTAGGTTATGTTGTTGTGCATGTCGCTTGGCATCAGTATACTCACATAACTTCCTCTGGTATTCCTTGTACCTCTCTTCAGGGTTGTTCCGATCCAATTCTGGTACTGTTGGCAACTTTGTTGTTATCTCTCTGTTGAGAAACAGTTTAGCTGGGGTCATGTTAGTCCTGGCATGTGGAGTGGATCTGTAAACTTGCAGGATTATGGGCAGAACCTCTGTCCAGGATAGACCATCTAACTCTGCTGCTCTGATACTGTGCTTTAGGTACCTATGAAATCTTTCCACCTGCCCATTTGATTGTAGAAAATAGGGTGATACTCTTCTGTGCTGTATTCCATTTGCCTTCATGAAGTCTTGGAATTCCTCAGCTACGAACTGATGTCCATTCTCCATGATCAGAACTTTTGGATATCCAAATCGTGCAAATATATCTGCAGTTACTATACTCTCACTTGTATTACGCTTAAGGACAATAGCCTCAGGCCATTTGCTTCTGTAATCAACAACAGTCATGATGTAGATCTCTCCAGGAAATGGACCAACCAGGTCAAGGGCACACTTCTCCCAGCTGTAATCGGGAAGAGGAGGTGCTGTATTAGGTGTGTCTTGTTGTAGTGGTTGAAGGCGCACACATGTCTCGCAATTTCGGCAGAAGTCCTCAACGTCAGAGTCTATCCCCGGCCAGAACAGGATTCTACGAAGGCGTTGCTTGCAGCGCACAATACCTTGATGAGCCTCATGTGCCAAGGTCAATGCCTTTTTTCTCAACTTCTCAGGAACATAAATTCATCGACCCCGCCACAGTAGGCCCTGTGCAAAGCTCAGTTCATCTTTAAAATGTTTCCATTTATTATTTACCAGCTTCTCGGTTCCATCAAGTACCTTCACCACCTCTAGTAATTCAGGGTCAGACTCTCCAGTCTCTTTTATTTCATCAATTGAGAGCAAAGCATCAGCACTTTTGACAAAGTGTACATGCTCCTCAACAAAACTTGTTTCTGTAACAGTAGTGTTCAAAGGTAATCTTGACAGTCCATCTGCAATGTTCTCAGATCCAGGTTCATAAGTGAGTGAGAAGTCATAGTCCTGACCTCTCAAAGCAATCCGTTCAAGATGAATTGATTGAGTGTTTTTATTGAATACGCCAAGCAGTGGATTATGATCAGTCGAGACGACAACGTGGCGACCATAAATGTAAGAATGCATCTTCTGCAATCTGAACAGCACAGCCATTGCCTCTTGTTCGATCTGTAAATATCTCTTCTCTGCAGCAGTTAGACTTCTGGATGCATAAGATATGGACTGCCAATGGCTGTCAACATTTTGCAGCAAGACACACCCAAGACTGACTGGGCTGGCATCTACTACAAGTTTGGTCTTGGCTTCCAATGAGTAGTGTGCAAAGCATGGTGCTTTAATCAGAAGCTCTTTAACTTCCTCAAAGGCTTTGGATTCTGTTGTACTCCATTTCCACACCACACCCTTCTGCATAAGATATCGTAAGGGAGTGATCACTGTTGCAAGGTTGGAAACAAACTGTGTAAGGTATGTAATACTTCCCAGAAATGATCTCAGTTCAGCTTGGTTTTGAAGTACTGGTGCATCTGCAATGGCTTTTACCTTGTCAGGTTCAGGCTTAATGCCCTCAGCAGAGATGACGTGTCCTAGAAATTTCAGCTCACACATGCCCAAGGCACACTTGTCTGCATTGAGACCAAGGCCAAAGTCTTGAAGTTTATCCATAACTGCACAAAGATTCTTCCAGTGTTCTTCTGGTGTTGACCCGTACACCACAACATCATCAAAGTAGCTAAGCACACCTGATAAGCCCTCACACACTATGCTCATGACCCTTTGGTACACCTCTGGTGCTGACGCAAGTTCAAAGGGCAGCCTTTTGAACCAATACACTTTACCTGCGGCTATGAACGATGTAATTTCTCTAGATTCTTTCTTTCGAAAACATCCGAGCCCCACTCAGTTGCCGTAACAGGTCTTGGATTCTAGGAATTGGAAACCGCTCTCTTATCACTGCTTTATTAGCTTCCCTGAGATCAACGCACACTCTCAATTCTCCATTCCCCTTGTAGACAATCTGCACAGGTGATATCCACGATGCTCCTGTCGCTTCTTCAATCACATCTTCTTGGATCATTCGCTCTATTTCTTGTTTCAATCTCTCCTCTAAGGGTGCTGGGACTGGCCTTTGTTTTTGTACCTTGGGAGGGACATCTGAATTGATTTTAATTTTGTACTCATAATTCTTAAAGTCTCCGAGCTCTTCCTTGAAGAGATTTTCATACTCCTGATAGATCTTCTCCCTCGCCTTGGTTGGGCTCTCCCCTACTGCATGGATTTTTACAAGGTTGAGGGTGGACAGGGCGCTTCTTCCCAACAGGGGGGGACCTTCCACATCGATCACATACACTGGCTCCATTACTTCCATCTTATTGCATCTCAGTTTAGCATCAAATACTCCTAAACACTTGAGGTCTCCTCCACCAAAAGCTGAGAACTTGACATTGGTTGGGTTAAGAGGAATGTTCAGGTTGTTTCTAAACCATTGTTGAGGGATCAAGGTTTTTTAGCACAGCCAGTGTCAATCATCATTTGAACAAGTTTACCATTGATTTCAACATCAGTTTCAACACCCAGCCCCTCATTATTAGTAGTATACCTAACATATTCAGGGTTAGACTTATCTGACTGTTGCTGGACTGGCTGGACAAACTTTACATCTTCTTTATTCTCTGATTCTCTTGATCTGCAATATTTCCAAAAGTGACCAGTCTTCTTACATTTTATGCACTGTGCATTCCTAGCTTTGCACCTTTCGTTATTAGCAAGATGATCCGTTTTTCCACATCGAAAGCAGGCTTTTTCTTTCGCTTTATTTACTGAAGATCTTACCGCATTAACATCAGATTTTCCAGGCAAGTTTTGGGCCCCGTGACCCCCAAGTAGCTGTGTATCCTTCTTTGCAGATTCAATTGCTCTCCCAAGCGTCTGGGCTTTTTCCAGTGTAAGAGTCTCTCCTTGTTGTAGTAGCTTTTCTCGTAGATATCCGTCAGAACACTTCTCTATAACTTGACCATGAATATCATCAGTTGCTTCCCCGAAGTCGCATGTTAAACTCAGCATACGTAACTCTGCAATGAAGGTATCAAGTGATTCATGTTGAAGTTGAGCAAGTTTTCGAAACTTGTGCCTCTCTGCCCACTTGTTTCTCTTGGGCTGAAAATGTGCACTCAACGCTTGTTTAACTTCCTCAAATTTCTTGTTCTCTCCCAGCAAACCTGAGAGCAAACGCTGGACTCCCGTCCCTGCAAGATGTAGAAGAGTAGCTTTTTGAACGTCGTCACTTTCCTTATCTAATTTCGTAGCAATTCAGTAGTTGTCGAAAGCATCGAGCCAAAACTTCCACTCATCCGCCAAGTTTGTCGCCTCTAAATTTACTGGTGACAACCAAAACCTTTCAAAACTCATCTTGACATGTTATCCGATTGTCTTTTATCCTCGTCGCCAATTTGTAGTGTCGCAAAGTCTTTAACTGTAGCGGAACAGACTCAAATATACAAGAAGAGTTTACACCAAAAGTAGTCAGATCCAATGTATCTAAAACGTCCTTAGGCTTAGCAGCCAAGCCTGCAATAGCCATGGATACCCGGATATAACATATTATATGCTAAGAGATTTAATTTTCTCATTGATTGAAAAAGAATTAGAAGCTACAGAAAATCATTTGGTGGAGGCACTACCTTGAAATTTGTCGTGTGCATAGGAAGTTGGACAATTTCCAACAATTAAATACTTGAACTTTTATCTTTGGTGTACATATGCTTTGTTGAACTCCTTCATCACCGATCACATAAACCTTTTGCAAAGGTAGGAACACTGGTTGCAAGCTTCACTTTCAATTTAGTATCACTCTGTCAAAAATTATATGGCAAATTGATTTAGGGAGATATTTATATGACTGTAACACTTGAAAATTTTAGTCTTTGATAATTTGTGACTGCATGCAGTATAGTTCTTAATGTCAAACTCAGAAAACCACATACTATGGAAAATATCCCTGAACTTTTATTGAGAAGACATGAATTTTTACACTAATCAGTTGTAGGATAGTTTCTTTGAGATAATAATAATCTAATATTTATATTGTGCAAATTAACTTTGGGATATGATCAAACACGCATTACAATGTCTTGCGGGGGACTTAACAGACTGCTTGCAGCTGTTTACAATTTTTTGGGAAGACTTATTGTAACAGATGTCCCCAATTTCAGTAAACAGGCCAGAGCACAACACGGTTCGAGCACATGATTTATCCCATAATATTTAATAATAATAGTAATAATAATAATAATGAGTAGATGCTTCTAGGGCGGATTTCTAATCTCAATGCGCCTGACAACAGATGATTATAACATAACCAAAGTAAAGCGTGCGCTCTGATTGGTCAATTTAGCATCCCCCATTTGCTTATGAGTGTACGCTG